TTCTGGTCACCCCACCCAGCCACTCTGTGGTCTTGTAGTCTTCCAACACACCCAGTCTGTTCCAGCCTCAGGGCCTTTGCACATGCTGTTCTCCCCCACAGGAAGTGCTCTTCCTCCTCCAGCTGCTCCCTGCACCATCCCATACTTGTGCTCAACTCCTCCTTCCTCCCTCGGGTCCTGACTCAAGTGCTGCTTCCCCCAGGAAGTCCTCCTAGATCTCTCCAGATCTGGTTGGGACCTCCCTATTCCATTCACAGGTCTCAAATGTCTCAGATGCATGGACCTCCACCCACAAGCAACACAAATCAGTCCTCCTCCATCACCACTACACCACCAGGCCCATAGGGAGGGGTTAGTTGTTTTTCCTCCCATATATCTCACCTGGGGAAACTGAAGCTCCACTGCTGGGAGGTGGCTTGGACCAGGCCCAAGCATCTCTCTGAGGCAGAATCATGTCATCTTGGCCTCATTTAACCCAAGCAATACATTCCAAAGCAAAAACATTCAGCACCTGCTGCTTCTGCTCTGGGGGAGCCAATTGGAGCCACACCATCCTCCCAGGAGACCCCTACGGGCCCCCCGAAGAGCACACATGTTGCTCTCCTCCAGAGCATCTCTATGCTCTACCTCTCCTTGCCCCTCATCCATGACATTTTAGGGAGTCTGTGTCTGGTTCTGACCCCCACCCCCAGCCTGGGGACTCCTCGGGAATACGCTAGGGTGAGGTTGGCACAGAGGATTTGGCTGGAGGTGTTTGTCAAATTAATGAATACATCATCTGCCTGATGAACTCCTGTGCACTCTTCAAAACCCTAGCTCCAATGCCTCTTTTTCGAGGATACTTTCTCTGTCTCCCCAGACAAAGCCCTCACTCCTCTACTCCCAACTCTTCTGGCTCCCAGACCCACCCTCCAGCCCAACGCTGACTCCCCAGGGCTGGGGGACATCCGTGGACAGCTCTTCCTCCTGCATGCTGAGGTCTCACTGGGAACCAGACTGGGACCTCTTAGGGGCACAGAAGAGTTTTCAGGAAGTGTTTCTGGAGGGGATAAATGAACGAATGATGAATGAATATCGCAGGGCCTGGAGTCAGATGTCCTGGGTTCATGTCCCGGCCAGGGTGCTGAACACCGAATCTGCCCCTTGACCTCTCCAAATCTCACTTGCCCATTTATTAAATGTGTTTACTCAGAGACTTTGTCCCAAATTGTTGCAAGGGTGAAATTAACTAACATAAAGCCTACAGCCCCCGGGGCCTCAGGCTCCCTTCAGTCTCAGACTGGGAGTGATGCGCACCCAGGACCAGCAGTTTTGTTCCCCTCCCCAGCACCCAGAACTAGTGTTCTCAACACACATGCTTAATGGATCAGATGTACAGTGTTGGTGACAGGGGTAGAGGACAGAGGGAAGAAAGGCAAAAATTTAAAAGTCTGAAATCGAAGTGTTGCTGAGGATGGAGGTGGCACAGCCTCCCTCACAGACCACTTGGGGAAACAGTCAGGCCATCTCTTACCCCACCTCCCAGCCATCCCCCCTAGGCATTTACTGGGGGGAGAATGAGGTATAGTCACCAAAAGACATGTACAAAAGAGGCTCAAAACAATTTTATCCACTATGGCCCCAAACAGGAACCAACCCAAATGCCCACCAACAGGTGAAATGCACAAACGGTGAAAAACTGGTACCCAGAGGTTTTAATAACAAGAATAGTAACGATGATGATAAAATCCAGGTGTTTGCAAGGACATGGAGGCATTGGAACCCTCATACATTGCTGACGGGAACGTGAAATGGTGCAGCCGCCATGGAAAATGGGTCTGGCAGCTCTTCAGAAAACTAAACATAGAATTACCATGTGACCCAGCGATTCCACTCCTAGGCATATACGCAAGGGAACGGAGAGCTGGTATTCCACAAAAAGTTGGACATGAATGTTCACCACAGCAGCACTAGTCGCAATAGCGAAAAGGTACAAATCACCCAAATGTCCACCAATGGATGAATGGATAAACCAGATGTCAGGAATAAAGTGGTCATACGTGGATACAACATGGATGCACCTTGAAAACAATATGCTGAGTGAAGGGAGCCAGATAGAAATGGCCACATAGTGTATGAAATGTCCAGAACAGACAGATCTATAGAAAGTAGAATATTGGTTGCCAGAGGCTGGGGGAAGGGGAATGGGGAGTGATGGCTAATGGGAATGGGGTCTCCTTTTGAGTGGATGCAAGTGTTCTGGAGCTAGTATCAGTGAACGTTGCACGACATTGTGAACTAAATGTACTACGTGTCACTGAATTATATCTTTAAAATGGTTAAAATAAGTTATATGTTGTATGTATTTTGCTGCAACATAAAAATGGTACCAGAGGATACTACCTAGCCACGAAAAGGAGCAACGCTTGCGCCTCACCATAAGAGAAGTGAGATCCAAGAGTGGACACCCTCTGTGATCCCATTTATGTGAAATTCAGAACCAGGTGAAACTCACCTATAATGACAAAGGTCAGGGCAGTGGTTGCCTTGAGGGAGGGGAACATCAACTGGAAAGTCCAAGCAACTTCCAGGGGCTGGGCATGTCCTAGATCCTGACCAGAGGGTCATCGCCCTTGTCAATCTCCACTTTAGACATTTATGAACTTGCGCATGCCTTATGTTAAACCTCAAGAAGAGTGATGGGGCGCCTGGGTGGCTCAGTCATTAAGCGTCTGCCTTTGGCTCAGGTCATGATCTCAGGGTCCTGGGATCGAGTCCCCATCAGGCTCCCTGCTCTGCGGGAAGTCTGCTTCTCCCTCTCCCACTCCCCTTGCTTGTGTTCCTGCTCTCGCTATGTCTCTCTCTGTCAAATAAATAAATAAAATCTTTAAAAAAAAAAAAAACAAAACTCAAGTAGAATGTTTAAAAAAAAAAAAAAAGAACTGCTGGGGTAGGAAAACAAGAATGTCCAGCAGTCTTGAGGGCTGAGGGCTCCATTTTCCCCACAAATGCTATCATCTGATCCCTCTAGGGATGGATGACCTTGAAACAGGCATGGAGCTGGGTGTAGACAAAGGCAGGAGGGTAGTGACCTGAGTCTGGTGCCTGGGATTTCAGAAATGATTCCTCCAGATGCTTCATCTCTGGGAGGATGCTCCCCACATTTCCCATACAGGGGTCATCAACCTGGATGACACTCCAGGACAGAAAAACCTCAGGACTCCAGAACACTGAGAACATCAGCCCCCAGAGTCCTTGGGGAGGACCTTTCCTCCCAAATCAGACACCCTGGTGGAGAACATCCTCACACTTCAGGGCCCTTTAAGACAAACTAGGATTAATAGCAACAATCATAACTCACAGCCTTGGGCAGGAGGAAGAGCACAGATTTCAGTCAGAAAGTCCTGGGTTCAAGTTCTAACTCAACCAATAAATACACATGAAGGAATAAATGAACAAATGAATGGTGGACAAATGGGCTTTTCACCCCCATTCCACAAGCCTTTATCATGCATTTCCGGGGTACTCAGCCTTGTCTTGCAAAAGGTCAGGGCTTCAGAGAGGTCTCTGCCTGATCCCACCTCCAACTGAGCTCCCAGCCTGACAGGTGAGACAGAGCCTGACATAGACACTCCCACTCCTATTATTGCTCATAGCAATAATGGAAGAAATCACAGGCAGCCAGGACACAGGGGAGGGCGCTAAGAAGGAGGGACTGGGATAGAGGAAGAATGCCAGGGCCAAAAAGAGAGAGAGGAAGTGGAGTACTAGAACGTTAGACAGCACATGGCCAGCGACTGTTATACACTGACCAGGGAGGAAGTTGGGCTGAACAACCCTAGATTATGAAGGGCAGCAGGAGGCTGATCATGTTTCTCAGGGCTTTTCATTTCTGTTTTGTGTACCTCCAGAGATGGAGACCTCACTCCCAAGAGGGACAGCCCAGCCCTTCCTGAGCACAGGCAACCGTCAAAAAGTTTGATGCAACTTAATTTTTAAAATAGTGGCCACCATAGTTTGAAGGATTTAATGAGGGACGCCTGGGCGGCTCAGTTGGTTAAGCAGCTCCTTCGGCTCAGCTCATGATCCCAGGGTCCTGGGATGGAGCCCCGCTTGGAGGTAGGGGGAATCCCTGCTCAGTGGAGTCTGCTTCTCCTTCTCCCTCTGCCTCTCCCCCTGCTTGTGCGCAAGCACACCCAAGCTCTCTCTCTCTCTCTCAAATAAATAAAATCGTTTTTAAAAAGGGTTGAATGAGATTGTTTGGGGAAGGAGGGGTACCCATGTGAGACAGGCAGTCAGTGTCTGCCACAGGCTGGATCTAGAATCAGACTCACTTGGGTTCAACTCTGTTCTACCACTTAAGGAGCTGATGACTTCATTTCTCCAAGCCTCCGTTTCTTCTCTGATATGACCATAATAACATTACCTACCTCACAGATTTATCCAATGAGCTAACGGAGTAAAATGTCTGGCACATAGGTGCAAGCGTGTTACCCTGCTCCAAGACCCAGAGTGCTCCGGAATGTACTTTCCTACCTTTAAAACTTTACACATGCTCTAACGAGTGCTTCAAATGCTCTTGCCCCACCACTCATACCTGGCAAACTCCTACACATCCCTTAAAGCCCTAGCTATAAGATACCTTTCTTTTCTCTGTTCAAGCCCTGACCCAAGGAGCTAGAAGCATGTGGACCCGGTTCTGACTGGGCCTACTGTGATGCGATGAGTTCCCGGGGAGCACGTGGTAGGCATGCAGTCAAAGCTTGTTGAATGAATGGATGGATGGATGGATGGATGGATGGACGGACAAGGGAATGATCTTTTGGGACGGGGTGGCCAAAGTGGAGAACCAAGAATCTGCCAACCACCGCGGTGCTCCCGTCCCCAGCTTCCAAGACCCGAAAGGGCCGAAAGTGCAAATTCTAGGGGCGAGAGGGCTTCCGGGCGGGGTCTTCAGTTCTTCCGGTTCGGCCCCTTTAAGGGGCGGGGCCAGCGGGGTGGGCGCTCGGAGCGTCAGTGCGGCGCGAAGATGGCGGCGGCAGCGGCGGCGGGCCCCGGGGCGCCCCAGGCACCGAGCTCGCTGCTGCTCGTGGTGGGCGGCGAGTGCGGGTGCTCGGGGCTGCTTACCTATGTGTTGGAGGAGCTCGAACGAGGTCGGGCCGGCCTGGGGGCGCGGGGTGCGGGAGGCGGGCGCGGCCGCGCGTCTCGGCCCGAGGGCTGGGGGGTGGGGCGGCCGGGTTGGGGGCGGGGAGGGGGGGGGCGGCGGGATCCTGGGGCCGGGAGGCTCGGTCTTCCTCACCGTTAGGCGCTCGGCATGGGCTGAAGCCTTGGGTGCCCACGGGGGAGGCGGCGCCCGGGCCTGGGTTGGGCTGCCCCGCCCCGACCGGGGTGCAGCTCAGGGACGGGACACGGGCCCGGGCTTTAGGACCCGCGTGATTGGGCAACACAGACGACGGCTCCTCTTCCCGCCCGCCGGGCCCGCCGGGGGGAGGGTGGGGTCGCCTCGAATTCCCCGGTCTTAGCAGCCTAGACGTCCTGGAAGAAGGAGCAGGGGTGGGGAGGCTGGGCTTGGAGCCCCGGGGCCCACTTTCCGTTGCTTCACAGGGAGCTTGCTAATTGGGGTGTGGGCGGGCGTGGCGTGCCCAGGGGATTTGGCATCTGGGGAGGTGAGTCATAGGTGCACCTGCAAGGTTCACCTGCAGCCACTTGGCACGGTGGAACCGGCGGGTGTGGTGCACCCCACACCGTGTTTGGAGGCCATTCATTTCCCCCCTACCCCCTATCAGATGGGCAGGGCCTGCGGTCTGGCGCCTGTATTAAAAATAGGAAGGCAGCGCACACTTCTATTCTTGCGCTTGGGAATGTCGTCGTCTGTGCCTGGATCCTCCTGGCCCCCTCCCCACCGCCCCATGCGCAGGGATAGTGTGGGGACCACAGGCAGGTTCAGCTCTGCTCTCACAGGGCCAACAGTCTGGTAGGGGGATGGACCCAAAGTGGGCGAGGAGATGGAACAAGTTTTAAGCTCACCTGCTGTCAGAAGTGCTCAGAAGGATGCAAAGGGCTGAGGGCCTGAGGTTAGAGAGGCAGAGGGAAGGGCATCCTGAAAATGGGAGTCGCTGGCGCAAAGGCCAGGAGGTGGGAGCATGTTTGGCCCTGACTGGGTGGAGGAGCTGAGAGACCAGTGGTGGGGGTGGGGGAGATGATGGAGGGGTCGAGATGACTGTTTAGGAGGTGGGAGCTTTCTTGTTGATGTTGAGCCTTCTCTGTGAAATGCCGAGTTATGCTTTGGGTTCCTTGACGCAGATGCAGAGAGACTCAAGGGCACTTTGGGTGGTTCTGAGTCTCATCTCCAGGCTGTTGCACTGGGGGGCAGGTTGAGGGGAGGGGCTTGGGATTGCTCCTACCTGCCAGATGCTTGTTATTGAACTATTCTGGGGACAGAGGAGCCCAGCTGATTCCCCACCTCACTTCTCCTGCCCCACTGCCCACCATCAGGTATCCGGTCTTGGGACATTGACCCTGGCATTTGCAGCCTTGATGAGCAGCTCAAGGTTTTCGTGTCCCGGCACTCCGCCACCTTCTCCAGCATCGTGAAAGGTGAGACTGGAGACCCTGCATGCCTCAGCTGCTCCCCTTCCACTCATTCACTGGGCAGGTGTTCTCTGAGTGCTTGCTATGTGCCAGGCATGGGGGGGGGCAGGTATCGCTGTAAACAACGGTAATAATATGGCTGGCGGTCTACAGCGTTGGAGCAGGGGCGGGCCCTGACCCAGTGCTAACTCCCTTGGTCATCAGCTATACACGAGGCAGGAATTCGTATTTTTGTTCGCATTTTGCCGATGAGGCAGCTGAGGGGTGGGGGACAGGGCGACCTCCAAGAGCGGGTTCTTTGGATGAGAGGCATCTGGGACTGGTGTGTCAAGTGGAGGGAAGGGCCCAGGCAAAGTGAAGATATTTGGAAAGTGAGGGGCTGCTGAGTGGGCCTGAAGGGTGGAGGGTGGGCCCTCTGTAGCAGGGACTGTGTCTGGCTCATGGCTGTGAGCCCCGTACAGGGCTGGGTGCACAGTAGGTGCTCAGTAGATGGGGAGCTGGGAAAGGAGCAAGATCGAGGAAGGGTTCGGGATGCCTGGGTGACCCACTGCACGGAGCAGCTGCTGGGCAGGTTCCAGGTGTCAGCCGCAGCCCCTCTTGCCTCAGCCAGCCTGTTGAGTCAGCCCCAGGCTGCTGCAGGAGGGGAAGGAAGGGCCCTTCGTCTAATTGTCCTAGCTGTTCCTGGTGGCTTCCTGACCCCTCACAGGAGTGAGGGGGCAGGGGCTGGAAATCCCATCTGCTCTGTGTGACGGTAGCAGCTACTTCCTCTCTGTTTGCCTTGGTTTCCCCACCGGAATGGGGCAATATCCGTACATGATAATAAGCATGTGATAAATGGATAAAAGGTTGACCAGTGCCAAAAGGTCCCCAGCCTCAGGCCTGGGGCTCCATTTTTTGAAACATCTGGGCTCTGGGGGGCAGACCAGGGTTCAGATTCCATAATCACTCCCACTCCCCTCTTTGTGGCCCAGGAGGTCTCTCTGCCCCCCATGCTTCCCTCTTTCTGGCCTCACCTGCCACTTCCTGATCCTCATACAGTCCTGCCTCGGAGTCCTTGCCCATGTCTGACCTCTTCCTGGTGTACCTTTGTTGGCCCTCCCTGGGCTCAGGCTTCTTGCCTATAAAATGGGGGTGACGGTGGCATCTGCCATAGGGCTGACTGCTGTGAATTACGGCCTGCGAGCCTGTTGGAGGTCTGTTGTCACTGCTCTTTCCAGTGTGAGGCTTGCCAAGGCAGGTTTCCTGTTCTTGCCTCATCCTGACCTGCAGCTCTACCATGTTGATCCTCAGATGACCCCTGGCTGGGGTTCCCGGGAAGCAGAGTCCTGGAGGGGCTTGTGGCTGCCTGGAGTCACATAGGGAGGCAGGGTTCGACACTGGGACAGCCCGGCCCCGTGCACATGGCCCAGCCCCAAACTCACTGCACCCGATTCCCCTACAGGCCAGCGGAGCCTTCACCACCGCGGAGACACCCTGGAGACCCTGGTCCTCCTGAACCCATCAGACAAGTCCCTATGTGACGAGGTAGGGAATAGTCCTCTCCTGGAGGGAGCAGGCTGCTGGGACCGGCACCCTCCCAAGCCTTGCCTTCCTGCCTCCCTAGCTTTGTGCTGTTTGAAATCCTGTTGACACCCACTAGCATCGCCCCCTCCTTTAGGAGGCCTCCCCAGATGGCCTTGGCTGCAGCTTATTTCCCCCTCAGGGGTGATGGTGGGAGCGGGTAAAGTCTGGAAAGACTGGAGTTTGGGAGGAAGGAACGGAGCAGGGAATGTCAGGAAGGTGGGACTTGACTGGTGGTTGCGTCTTGTGCCTCCCTCCTGACTGGGCTCCAGGAGTTGTCTAAATTGACTTCTTAATACTTGTAATTTGTGGACATATGTGTTTTTCTCCCAGTTATCCATGGGAAAGATGAACAAGATAGGGCCCCAGGACACCCCTCTAGAGACCCTTGTACAGGTTGATTCCTCTGATCAAAAATGCTCCATTTTGTTTCCTCGGGGCACTCTGAAGGTGATAGAGCCAGACGCAGATACCCTCCTCCCCGTGGCATTGAGGCTGGGCCGGAGAGACAGGTGGGCTGGAGGGAGTCCAGAAAAGTGAGCTTCTAGGAAGAGGAGGCACTGGAGCCTGGCTTTAGGTTGAGCAGCAGGAGTTTGTCTGGGGTGGGGTGCAGGGCTCAGGGCCCAAAGGGTAGCCTTCCAGCCTCCTGTTGAGTAGTGGGCTGGGGACAGGGCTGGGGTGGTTATATGTAGATTTGGGGTTGGAGGCCATTCCAGGGGGGGGGTGCAGGCTTTGTCACTGCACAGAGTAGGGGCTTTAACCGTCTCCCCTTCCCCAGCTCCGGAATCTTCTGCTTGACCCTGCCCCTCACAAGCTGCTGGTACTGGCTGGGCCCTGCTTGGAAGAGACAGGGGAGCTGCTACTCCAGACAGGGGGCTTCTCGCCCCGCCACTTCCTCCAGGTCCTAGGGGACAGAGAGGTAAGTCCCCTCCTCCTCATCCTGCTTCCCCTGGCTCTGAATCCTGGCTTGTCCCCATCGGGCTGTGTGGCCCTAGTGACCTGCCCCCCCCCCCACCACGTCCCATCCCCTCTTCTGCGGAACAGTCCCTTCTGTTGTTGGGGCTCAGTTCCCTTGCCCACTGCAGCATGTGGTTTGAGGCTAGGCCTGTAGATCAGCAGACCTCCCAGAGACTTCAAGTGACACCCCAGGTTCTAGGTCCCAGCAGGGCAGGGTCCTTTCTAGAGTCCTTAGACTGGGTGGGGCAAATGAGCAAAACTCTGGTAAACCACCTTTTCACATTTACGAGAGTGATGCAGTGGTGGGTGAGATAAGAACCAGATGCAGAGGCAGGGGACGCAGAAGGTCTTCCTTGGAGGGAACTGTGCTGTGGGAAGAGAACAGCAAGTGTAAAGACCCTGGGGCAGGGAGAGTAAGAGAAAGGGTGGGGGAGGGAAGCAGGTGGTGAGGCAGGACCATATGTCTCTGTGCACTAGGGGGAGGGCTGGGTTTTGTCCTAAGGGTGCCAGGGGTTGAGCAAGGCACTCTCCCAGGCCCTGGAGGCTTCTAACCATGACCGCCTTCTGCAGATCCGGGATCTCCTGGCATCCACACCCCCACCTGCAGACCTTCCCAAGCTCACCATCACCTGCCCGACCTTCGGCGACTGGGCCCAGCTGGCGCCTGAAGGGCTTGGCCTCCACAGCGCGCTCCGGCTGCGGTGGAACCCGCCCATGCAGCTGCCGGCGTCCGAGGGCCTGCGCGAGTTCCTGGAGTACGTGGCGGAATCGCTGGAGCCACCGTCTCCCTTTGAGCTGCTCGAGCCGCCAGCGTCCGTGGGCTTCCTCAGGCTCGCCCGGCCCTGCTGCTACATCTTCCCTGGCGGCCTCGGCGACGCCGCCTTCTTCGCCGTCAATGGTTTCACCGTGCTGGTCAATGGTGGTTCCAACCCCAAGTCGAGCTTTTGGAAGCTGGTGCGGCACCTGGATCGGGTGGACGCCGTGCTGGTGACCCACGCGGGCGCCGACAGCCTCCCAGGCCTCAACAGTCTCCTGCGGCGCAAGCTGGCAGAGCGCGAGGAGGCGGCGGCCGGTGGGGGATCCGGGGACGACCGGCTTCGCCGGCTCATCTCCCCCAACCTGGGGGTTGTGTTCCTCAATGCCCGCGTTGCCGCCTCGCGCCTCATGAGCGGCGAGGACGAGGCGGAGCTGGCCCTGAGCCTCCTGGCCCGGCTGGGCATCACACCGCTGACTCTGAACCGCGGGCCGCTCCCGGCCGAGCCCACCGTGCTCTTCCAGAAGATGGGTGTGGGCCGGCTGGACATGTACGTGCTGCACCCGCCCGCGGCCGCTGCCGACCGCCCGCTGGCCTCTGTGTGCGCCCTGCTGGTGTGGCACCCCGCGGGCCCCACGGAGAAGGTGGTGCGCGTGCTGTTCCCTGGCTGCACTCCGCCCGCCCGCCTTCTGGACGGCCTGGTCCGCCTGCAACACTTGGGCTTCTTGCGGGAGCCCGTGGTGACCCCCCAGGACTTAGTGGGGCCTCGACGAGCCGAGAGCAAGGAAAGCGTGGGCTCCCGGGACAGCTCGAGAAGAGAAGGCCGGACAACAGCACCCAGCAGGCCGGCCCAGGAGCGCCCCGGGCTGGCCCGCAAGGACCTGCCTCGGGTTGAGGCCCCCCGCAGGGCTGAGAAAGAAGCCAGGGTCCCCCGGGAGGTGAAGAAGGACCCCAAGCCAAGCGCCCTTCGGACCCAGCCCCGGGAGGTACGCCGGGCAGCCTCTTCTTCAGGGAGTGTGAAGAAGGCGGGTGCCCCGGCCCCCCCCAGGTCCCGCAGAGCACCCAATATCCCCCGCCCAGGGGTCCCGCCGGCGGAGAATGGGCCCCGCAGCCCCCCTAGCTTCCGGTGTGGAGAGGCCAGCCCCCCAGCAGAGGCCTGTAGTTCCCCAGCCCCCCGGCTGGTGGACACGCCCAGCCAGGAGAGCAGCCTGGAGCTGGGGCTAAGCCCGGCCGGGGAGGGTGGCGGCGCCTTGGAGGAGAAGGCGCTGGAACTGCTTTTGGGTGCCAGCGCCCCCCGGCCACGTACACCCTCGCCTACCGGAGCCCAGCAGGGCCCGACGGAGGGCAGCGGGCGGCTGTCGCTGAGCCCGCTGCGCGGCGGGGAGGCTGGGCCAGATGCCTCACCCACAGTGACCACGCCCTCGCTGCCCGCTGAGGTGGGCTCCCCACACTCCACGGAGGTAGACGAGTCCCTGTCCGTCTCCTTCGAGCAGGTGCTGCCGCCGCCACCTGCCACCACGGGCGAAGCGGGGCTGAGCCTCCCACTTCGTGGCCCCCGGGTCCGGCGATCGGCCTCCCCACACGATGTGGACCTCTGCCTGGTGTCACCCTGCGAGTTTGAGCACCGAAAGGCTGTGCCCATGGCACCAGCACCTGCATCCCCTGGCAGCTCCGATAGCAGTGCTCGGTCCCAGGAGCGGGCAGATGCTCCAGGGGCTGAGGAGACACCGCCCACGTCCGTCAGCGAGTCCCTGCCCACCCTGTCTGACTCAGACCCCCTGCCTGCCGCCCCCGGCCCTGCGGACTCAGACGAGGACATGGAGGGCTTCGGGGTCCCTCGCCGCGACCCCCTGCCCGAGGCCCTCAAGTTCCCCCCACCGCTGCCCACCCCACCCAGCATCTGCATGGTGGACCCCGAGATGCTGCCCCCTGAGCAGGCCCGGCCGACAGAGGGCCTCAGCCGTACCCGGAAGTCCCTGGCCCGCTCTAACCCCAGCGCTGCCGCCACCAAAGCCACTCCAGCGACCACGGCCAAAACCAGGGGACTGGCTGGAGGAGACCGGGCCGGTCGGCCGCTCAGCACCCGGAGTGAGCCCAGCGACAAGGGAGGTCGGGTACCTTTGTCCAGAAAGTCCTCAGTCCCCAAGACGACCGCTCGGGGCCCCTCTGGTAAGTACCCGGGAGCTGGAGTCCTGCGGTGGGTTACTGGCCCAAGTCTTTCTTCCCTACTTGCCGTGTGGCCTCAGCCACACCTGCCACCCTCTCTGGGCCTCAGTTTCTCATATAAAACGGAAGTTCTGGTTCACTATTCAGGCATTTGTAATTCCGAGGCATTCAAGCAGTGCCGTTGGGGGAAACATAAAGCGAGCATATCTGTTCTCCTGAACTTGCTGGGGCCACAGTATGTAAGAAGAAACAGGTGAAATTAATTTTATTTTATTTGCTTTACTTTATTTTTTTAAAGATTTTATTTATTTATATGACAGAGACACAGCGAGAGAGGGAACACAGCAGGGGGAGTGGGAGAGGGAGAAGCAGGCTTCCCCGCAGAGCAGGGAGCCCGATGCGGGGCTCGATCCCAGGACCCCGGGATCATGACCTGAGCCAAAGGCAGACGCTTAACGACTGAGCCACCCAGGCGCCCCTACTTTATTTTTTTTTTTAAGATATTTATTTATTTATTTATTTGACAGAGACACAGCGAGAGAGGGAACACAAGCAGGGGGAGTGGGAGAGGGAGAAGCAGGCTTCCCAGTGAGCAGGGAGCGCGATGCGGGGCTCGATCCCAGGACCCTGGGATCATGACCTGAGCCGAAGGCAGACGCTCAATGACTGAGCCACCCAGGCGCCACTGTGTAATTAATTTTAATAGTATATTTAACCCCTTTGTGTGGAGGTTCCCAAGCCCACCACCACCAGGTTGGATGCTGGGCTGGGAGGACTAGGTATACTGTCGTCCTTGTGGCTGAACTGTATTAGAGCGAAAACATACAGAACAGAATCAGCGAGGGCAAGAGGCTTGGGGTGCGGCCGGGGGCGGGGAGTCCCTAGAGGGAATCCAGGCACGGGCTTCTAGAGCCGTCTCCCAGCGTAGTCACATCATGTACCTTAATGCCGGAGTGGCAAACCGCGATGACCCATGGGAGGTGGCGCCTCCCAGGGAGGCTCATTAGAGACTGGTGTGCCCAGGGTTTCTAGTGGGGGCTGGTCACGTTGGCCCCCTCTGCCTGACATGCAGCCAAATTCCAGGATTGTCAGAGAGGGGGAAGCAGGGCTTCAGCAGGAGCCGCAGCGCTGCAGGACCTGGGGTGGGGGCGGCGAGCAGCGAGGCGCCCTTGTGCAGGCATTGGGGACCTTTCTGAGATCTAAGTCCCCCAGACTCCAGCCAGGGGCCACCCTGTAAGCCGACTCTGAGGCTAGCAGTCTCGGGTATGCTGTGGTAACTTTTTTCCTGGTTTTCCTTAGTTGTGATGAAATGTACACGACATGACGTCACCATGGCCGTTCCTAAGCACGCAGTTCAGCGTTAAGCACATTCACGTTGTGCAGCCATCACCGCCATCCCTGTGCAGGCCTCCTTTTATCTTGCAAAACTCAAACTTTGTCCCCATTAAACACTAACTCCCATTCCTCCTCTCCCAATCCCCAGCACACACCATTCCACTTTCTGTTTCTAGGACCCTGATGATGCTAGGGACCTGTGTAAGTAAAATCATACTGTATTTGTCTTATTTCACTTAGTAGAATGTCTCCCTGGCTCATCCATGCTGTAGTCTGGGTCATAATTTTCTCCTCCCCGCCCCCCCACTTTTTGTTTAAGAAGTTCCTTCCTTTTTAAGGTTGACTAATACTCCATTATGTGGATGCACCGTATTTTGCTTATGCATTCACCCGTTGATGGACACTTGGGTTGTTTCTGCCTTTTGGACTACTGTTGAATCATGTTGCTGTGAACACGGTTGGACAAATATCTTTTGGAGATCTAGCTTTCAACTCTTTTGGGTATATTCCCAGAAGGATTGCTGGATCAGATGGTAATTCTATTTTTGATTTTTTTTCGAGGAACTGCCATACTGTTCCACAGCGGCTGCACCCTGTACTCCCACCAACAGTGCAAAAACGTTCCGATTTCTCCACATCTTCGCCAACACTGTTTTCTGATTTTTTTTTTTTTTTGATAGTGGCCACATGATGGGTGTGAGGTGGTATTTCATGGTGGTTTTGATTTGCATTTCCCTCGTTAGTGAGCATCTTTTCATGTACTGTTGGCCATTTATATATCTTTTTTGGAGAAATGTCTATTCAGGTCTTTGCCCCTTTTTGAATCCGGTTGTCTTTTTGTTGTTGGGTTATGAGAGTTCTGTATATATTCCAGGTAGTAATCCTTTATCAGTTAATGTGATTTGCAAATATTTTCTCCCATTCTGTGTGTTGCTTTTTTATTTTGTTGATAGTGTTCTTTGTACAAAAGTTTGTAATTTTCACAAAGTCCTGTTTGCCTTTTTTTTTTTCCTGTGCTTTTGGTGTCCTATCCAAAAAATCATTGCCAAATCCGATGTTGTGAAGCTTTTGTTTTATTCTAAGAGTTTTATGGTTTTAGTTCTATGTATTTTGCTCCTTGATGAATTGAGTTAATTTTTGCCTGTGGTGCTAAATAAGGGCTCAACTTCATTCTTTTGCATGTGGACATCCAGTTTTCCTAGCACCAGTCTTGGCATCCTTGTCAAACATCATTTTACCATATATGTGAAGGTTTTATTTCTGGGCTCTCTGTTCCCTTGGCCTGTTACGTATCTGTCTTTATGTCAGTACCACTCTGTCCTGATTAGTATCCCTTTGTCGTGAGTTTACAAATCAGGAAGCGTGAGGCCTCCCAACTTGGTTCTTCAGTGTCTTGCCTTCCGGAATCCTTTGAGATTCCATAGGAATTTTAGGACAGATTTTTCTGTTTCTGCAAAAAGCCATTACTGGCACTTTGACCGTGACAGCATTGACTCTCTAGGTCGTTTCAGGTAGTGCCAACAGCTCAGTGGGTATTTAGTCCTCCAGTCCACAAACATGGGATGTCTTTCTGTGAATTTCTATGTCTTTTTTCATTTATTTAAGAAGTGTTTTGTAATTCTTGTATATTTTATTTTCTTGGTTAATTTCTAAGTTATTCTTTTTTGATGCTATTGTAAATGGAATTGTTTTCTTAATTTCCTTTTCAAGTTGTTCACTCTTAGCATACAGGAGCATAACTGATTTGTGTGTGTTTATTTTGTATCCAGCTACTTTGCTGGATTTGTTTATTCTAGTGGATGGTGTGTTTGTGCGCACGCGTGCATTATTTGAGTTTTCTACACTAAGAGCATATCCTCTGTGATCAGAGATAACTTTTAATTTTTTCTTTTCCAATCCAGTGCCTTTTCGTTTTCTTGCCTGATTGCCATGGCTAGCATTTCTAGTACTGTGTTGACTAGAAGTGGCAAAAGCCAACATTTCTTGCCTTGTCCCTGCTCTTAGGAAAAAAGCTTATAGTCTTTCACCACCAAGTGCGATGTGAGCTGTGGGTTTCTCATGTATGGCTTGTATTATGTTGAGGCAGTTTTTTGCTACTCCTAATTTGTTGAGGGTTTGGGAGGGTTTTTGTAAGATTTTATTTATTATTTATTTGACAGAGAGAGCGAGCGAGAACAGGAACACAAGCGGGGGGAGTGGGAGAGGGAGAAGCAGGCTTCCCGCTGAGCAGGGAGCCTGATGTGGGGCTTGATCCCAAGACCCTGGGATCATGACCTGAGCCAAAGGCAGATGCCTAACCGACTGAGCTACACAGGCGCCCAGAGGGTTTTTTTTTTTTTAATCTTTTTATTTAGAGGGTTTTTAATCATGAAAGAGTGTTGAATTTTGTCTAATGCCTTTTCTGTAACAATTGAAATGATTATTTTTTTTTATCCTTCATTTTGTTAATGTGGTGTATTGTGTTGATTTTTCTCTTTTTTTAAGATTCTATTTTTAAGGGGCACCTGGGTGTCTCAGTCAGTTAAGCATCTGCCTTTGGCTCGGGTCATGATCCCAGAGTCCTGGGATTGAGCCCCGCATTGGGCTCCCTGCTCAGTGGGGAGCCTGCTTCTCCCTCTCCCTCTACTGCTCCCCCCCGCTGTGCTCTCTCACACTTGCTGTCTCTCAAATAAATAAATAAGTAAAATGTTTCAAAAAAATTTTTTTTATTTTTAAGTAATCTGTATACCCAATGTGGGCCTATATTTTGACTTTTTTTTTTTTTTTGTATGTTGAACCATACATCCCAGGGATAAATCCCACTTGATCATAGTGTCTGATCCTTTTACTATGCTGCTGAATTTGGCTTGCTAATATTTGTTGAAGATTTTTGCATCAAGGTTCATAAGGGATATTGGTTTGTAGTTTTCTTCCTAGTGTGTTTGTCTGATCTTGGCCTCAGGGCAACGCTGGCCTCAGAATGAGTTAGGATGTGTTCCCTGCTCTTCAGTGTTTTTGGAAAAGTTTGAGAAGGATCAGTGTTAGTTCTTCTTTAAATGTTTGGTGGAGGGGCGCCTGGGTGGGTCAGTCATTGAGCATCTGCCTTTGGCTCAGGTCGTGGTCCCAGGGTCCTGGGATCGAGCCCTACATCGGGCTCCCTGCTCCGCGGGAAGCCTGCTTCTCCCTCTCCTGCTCCCCCTGCTTGTGTTCCCTCTCTCGCTGTGTCTCTCTCTGTCAAATAAATAAATAAATAAAATCTTTAAAATAAACAAATAAAATAAATGTTTGGTGGAAACTTAATGAAGCTGAGGAGGGTTTTAATTACTGATTCAATCTCCTTACTAATAATGAATCTGTTCAGCTTTTCTGTTTCTTTGTGATTTGGGTCTTGGTAGATTTTGTGTTTCTAGGAACCTGTGTATTTTTTCTGGGTCATCGAGTTCGGTGGTTGTACAGCTGTTCACAGTACTCTCATAATGCTTTCTGTGTCCGTAGAGTTGGTAATAGTGTCCCCACTCTTACTTCTGAACTTAGTAATTTGAGTCTTCTCTTTTTTTTCTTAGTCTAGCTAAAGGGCTGTCAAGTTTGTTAATCGCTTTGAAGAACCAACTTGCGGTTTTATTGATTATCTTTTGTGTTTTTCTAGTCTCAATTTTTAAAAATCTCTGCTCTTTATTATTTCCTTTTTTCTGCTGGCTTTGGATTTCCTTTTGTTCTTTTTCTAGCTCCTTAGGTTGAAGGGTTGTCACGTTGAGATGTTCTTTTTTTAATATAAAATATTTATAGCTATCAACTTTCCCTTTATCTCTGCTTTCTCTCAAAGAGATTCTCTCTTTGTCTTTCAGCAGTCGGATTATAGTGGGTCTCACTGTGGATCTCTTTGAGGTCGTCCCACTGGGAATTTGTTGAGCTTTTTGGACGTTCATACTAACACCTTTCATCAAATATGGAAAGTTTGGGGCCATTATTTCTTCAAGTAGTCGTTCTGCCCTTCACTCCCCTGGGCCTCCGTGTGCGCGTGGGCCTTTGCCCTACAAGTCCCTTAGGCCGCTGTTCACTGTCGTCAGTCATCTCTCCGTGTTCCTCACACGTGGTAATTGCCATCACCCTATCATCAAAAATCACTGTTCAAATCATGAATTCCTCTGGTGAATTTTCATTTCAGTTACTGTACTTTTCAGCTGCAGAATTTCTTTTGGGTTTATTTCTATGTGTTCTACATCCTTAGTGACATTTCTGTTTTGTTCATGCAGCGTTCTCTTGCACGTCTTTCTTTCTGTGAGCATCTTTAAGACCATTGTCTTATACAGTTTTTGTCCAGTAAGCCCACCGTCAGGCCTTTCTGGTTTCTGTTGATTTTTTTTTCTTTTTTTCCTTTGAATAAGCTGTACTTTTCCTTTTTCTTTGTGTGCCTTTTGATTGTTGCTGTTGTTGAAAATTGGACATTCAAATTTAATAATGTGTTAACTCTGGAGATCCAAATCTCCCCCTTCCCCAGGGGAGGTTTGTGTGGCTTCTCTGGTTAATTGCTGCTTCTGTGCTGGGGGTCAGTCTGAGGTAGACACTGAGGGTCGGGCGCCTGGGTGGCTCAGTTGGTTAAGCGACTGCCTTCAGCTCAGGTCATGATCCTGGGGTCCTGGGATCGAGTCCCACATCAGGCTCCCCCTGCTCTGCAGGGAGCCTGCTTCTCCCTCTGCCTGCCACTCCCCCTGCTTGTGCTCTCTCTGTCTCTCTCAGTCAAATAAATAAAATCTTAAAAAAAAAAAGAAAGAAAGAAGGAAGGAAACTGAGGGTCTTCTCAAGTCCTGTCTGAACCTGTACCTTTTTGCCATGTGTGTGGTGACTACCCTAAATCTCCTGTATATGCAGTGACTTTTTTCTTTTCCTTAAGGTTTTTTGTTTTTGTTTTTTTTAAAGATTTTATTTATTTGACAGAGAGACACAGTGAGAGAGGGAACACAAGCAGGGGGAGTGGGAGAGGGAGAGGGAGAAGCAGGCTTCCCGCCAAGCAGGGAGCCCGATGCGGGGCTCAATCCCAGGACCCTGGGATCATGACCTGAGCCGAAGGCAGATGCTTAACGACTGAGCCACCCAAGCGCCCCTTCCTTAAGGTTTTTATTTAATTCCAGTATAGTTAACATACAGTGTTACATTAGTTTCAGGTGTACGATACAGTGCTTCGATGCAGTGGCTTTTGAGTGGCCTAGTCCTTACACGTCTGGCTCCCAAAAGGGGGAAAAAGCGAAAAATGAAGGGAGGTGGGAGGGAGGAAAGGTGAAAAAATGTTCCCAGTCCTTTCAGTCTCCCTTAAGCTGGGGCGGGCTGCCAGCACGACTGTCCTGTCGTCTGGGTAAGGCAGGTTCCTGGTGCTTCCTGCTGCACCCTCATCCCCGAATCCTGCTGAATTCACTCTGCCCCGCGTGCTACCCTATCAGACTATTCCAACACATCATCGATATGAAAAATTACTAGCTAGTTCTGTTTCTCGTTGCCACACTTAAGTCCTGGATGCCTGGGGGCACCCAGGTGGCTCAGTCGGTTCGGTGTCTGCCTTGGGCTCAGGTCATGATCCCGGGATCCTGGGATTGAGCCCCACGTTGGGCTCCTTGCTCAGCGGGGGGGGGGGGGGGGGGGG